AAATGTCAGAGGCTGATGAGGGGTAGTCTATGTTTGATCTGTAAAGTCTGATAATCTGAGAAATAAGCAGTGGCTTGACAGTGGATAAAAGAGGAAGAATCAATATTAGTAAACTCTGATACCGCTGTTGATAAATGGTGGTTTTAGATAATGCTGAACCAAACCTGGAGCTATAGGAAAGGGTAAATGAAGATTGTAGATCAGGTAACAGTGGAAAAGCAGTTACAGTCAGTCTTTGAGAGTGTAAGGGAGTAAAAAATACAGTAACATGGATTTTTAAATTTGTTTTTTATGTATTGTTTTTAAGTTTGGGTATACCATACAAAATGTATTATCTCATATATTTTAACTATCAAATAAGTAAAATAATTCTCAAAGCCTAAATTATACTGAATTTATTAGTCAAATCAATCAGATCATTGTTAAATAAACTTTTCTCTTTAGGTTGAGAAAAGTATTCCTTGGATTTTAAAGGAATACATATCTTATAGATACTTAACTTGTATTTTATAGATATTCCTAACTCCTGAGCCAATATGAAAATGTATTTAACTATGCTCTCTGGCAGGTATCAAAGCATGTCTTGAAAAGTGGCTGTTTTTAGAATTTTCTAGGCAGACTGTTGTAATATCTCAATTATTCAACTGATCCCACAAGCATTTTTAACATTCTTACTATCTTCCATATCCTATGTTAGGACCTGGGATTCAAAGATAAACAAGATACAGCTCTTACTGCCCAAAAGCTCACAGTCTAAGGGGCTCCAAAAATAAATAAATAAATAAAGATAAATGCTATAGCAGGAAACTAAATGGGGATGGAGTCCACAGTATCATATCAGAGAAAAGGAAGGCTTCCTGGAAGAGGCGTTTGAGCTAATCCTAAATCACTGTATCAAAATTCTTAAGTTTTAGGAACAAGAGAGCAAATAGTTGTTCCATAGGTATATATAAAAGAAATGATCAGGAGAATGAGGCTAATAAATCACTTACTTTATTACCACGTCTATCACAAAATTCCAAATTGTTAGTAAATATGAATAAACATAAATAATACGTGAATATAATATATTCCAGGACATTCTCCACATAGCTCAAAGTAAAATGGTAATAGGTTTTCCTTGGCTATCTTTATTAATCATAGAACAACATGTTTATCATGACCAACAGCACTCAATACTTTTTCCTTTTCCTGATAAGGATACTGGAGAGTAAATGATACATATGAAGCTTAGTTTAGGGCCTGGCACACAGTAGAGTTCATGAAATGGTAGTCTCCCTCTCTAAGGTAGATCTATGTCCTCTCACTATATTACCTTTCCAATTAACGATGCTCTAATAAATATTTGAACTCTAACCTCAGAGGTAATTACTAGTACCTATCAAAGCAATCTTTAGCATCTTCCCTTCTTCCCCAATGTCCTTAGTTCCCACCCTGTTTATTCTTAGTAATTCCTTGTGGTAAAACTCTGTAAGGACAAATTCCTAAAATAAGACAGTTACATTTAAGTTATATTAGAAATTTTTAATCATGTAAGCATGATTCATGAAACAGTTATTGGAAGTTTCCACCAATGCAACTGCAAATATTAGCATCAAGATTTTATTATCTCTAGGAAAATAAATCCCATAAGTATTGAAATTACATACAATTACAAAATTCCAGGTCAAAATAAGGCAATAAATATAGATATAGTATGCTGCCAACAGATGGCAGCACCTGAATATCAAACTCTGCTTTTCATTTCCAACTTAGATTGTGACTTGCAGAAATGCAAAACCCCATCAAGGTGAATAAAAAATAATGTCTACACAGAGGGCTCCTCATGAGTATATGAATTAGTCACATAGCACCAAGATAGCAAGTACATAGGGATGTGGCAGCTGCTACATAGCATGGTAATGAGAAGGGACAATATGAGATGAAATATTCTGGGACACACAGGGGATGATTTGTTGAAGACGTAAAGATTATAAACAGAAATGGAACTGGGTTCTACAATCCTGAAAATGGGAATATTCACCAAGGATCAGAGTACTGGAAGCATAAAAACACTTAAAATGCATTTCAGTCGTACCTACACAATATAGCAAGAAGCTGAATAATATCTTTTTAAAGAAATGAAATTTATTTTCAAGTGTAGTCCATTTAAACTAAAGAGTGATAAGTAATAGAAAATGAGTATTACAATTACTTTTTTGGCAATATTTCTTACATATTAATAGATCTGCATATGGCTATAACTGGGAAAAAATTTTTTTGAAAAATCTTTTTGACTGATTTGCCAATTTATTACGCTGGTAACTTACACAAGAAGAAATGGATTCCTTCATTCTTCTATAACCAATGGTTAACTTCTAAGGCTTTGGAGAAAAAGATACCTAGATTGAAATCTCATGTCAGTTGATTTTTAGCTGTATGATCTTACCAAGATACTTAAGTTCTCTGCGACTCAGTTATAAAAAAGTGGTAATAGCTACCTCACAGAATTGTGTGAAGGTCAAAGAATAAAGCAAATAGCACATGTTAACACACAGTATGCACTCCACGATTTAGTTATTATTACCGTGATTCCAGGTATGTGTCCTCCCTCCAATTTAAAATTATTCACTTAGAAATTCCTGAAAATACATTGCATGATATACTATATTATGTAGAGTGAAAAAAACAATTCTGAGATGTTTCAAATTAATTTACAGTGGCTGGAGAGTGAGACAAAGAGACAGAATTGCTAGTTTGTTAATGGCTGCTCACAGGGTAACTGTAGGGAGCTAAAGCTCCCAAAATTCAAAGGAGTGCATGGATTATCTCGGGAGGCCTGCTTGCATATAAAAGGGAAAAAGCTGGTTCTGAGGAATTCCAGGAGGAAGAAGATTAAGATTAGAAATAGGAGGTACGAAGGGAGTTTCGATTGTACCTTGATCTTCAAAATGTTACTTTAACTATGTTATCTTGGGATACACAAAGGAACAGAATATGTATAAAAAGGAGCCTAAGAAATAAACTCGGAGAGACAGTTGTGAGATCTGTTCTCCCTCCTGCACTCTGTCTGTCTTCTCTTTTTTCTCAGTCCCCGCTCCCCCATTCAGGGACCTGGTTTGACTTGGTCGGCTGGTTTCCGACAGGTAACAAAAGATTTCTCACATCCCCGTTTTGTCTATTGTAATTTTAGATTAATTTCCAGGTGGTTATTTCCACTGATTATTTTAGCCAGGCACCATCTAATTCCAAAAACCTCCACTTTGTTTAAACATGGGCTTTCCGGACTGCTGCCCTAACAGACATTTCTTTGTGTCTCTGCTGTCTTAGAACTGGCCCCACTTCACCTTCCCCCATCCCTTTGCCTACAGATCATGTAAATTCTTTTAGACTACCTTCGTCTTCCCCCTTCTCCTTACTTGATGTATAAAATTACTTGCAAAACTCTGGGATGATGGACATTTTCTACCTCACCATGCTGCCGGTGGTTTGGACTCCATGCCCCAAGATCAGTATTTGGCTAGCATTTTGGGCTCAATAAAACCTTACTTACAAAAAGAACTTCAGCCATGAAAGTTAAAATTTTTAGTTTACTAAGTGGCTGGGAACTTGGTAGCTGTAGTAATAATGTTCTTGCAAATACTTCACATAAAAATAAAGTTAATTAGGAAGGTAAGGGAGAAGGATGTAAATTTGAGTTTTATATTATTTCTCGTGGATTAAATCCTGTGTGAAGGTGCCTATTTTAAGCTCATGTCAAAGATCTCATGGTTAGTTTTGTTTAGCTAATTTTGCCGAAGCCAAAGAACTTTAGTGACTGATCCTAACCAGTCAGCCATGCAGTACCCAGAGAGCAATCTAAAGCTATGATTTCTTATTCCTCATTGGCATGGTGTTGGCGAGGAGAACACAATGCAGGCTTTGCTAGAGATTAACTGGAAGAGTCTGTCCCATGCACAGACCACAGAAGAGTCAGCCTACTGGCAGTGCAGGAGAGACCATTTCTAACAGCCTACACTATTCAGACTGCATTTTTCTTCCAAGACTGGGCTTTTCTTGAAGTGGAAGGGGGTTAAAAGTGGTTAGGTGGAATGGTAAAGAGCAGGCGCTGAACACTCAAAGATATGGCAAAATTCAAATTGAAGTTGTAGCTATAAGAGTTAGGCTCACTAGCCTATGAGCTCTGCTTGTGTCATGTCTCATTCATTTTTATGTCCCAATGCCTGAACAGGGCTCTGCATTCAATATATTTATGAATATATGGATATTCATAATTTTGTTTTTCAGAAATGTCTTGTGTTGGAACATTGTTCGTTTTTGAAATAAATACACCTTTTAAGAAGTTGCCTTGGAAATGTATGACCTATGGTGTAATAATGAGTGCCAAGCACTGAAGCTAAGCATTTTTCCTTATTACTGAATGATGTATATTTTGGAAACCGAGGCTTCGAGGTTAGAGAATACAACTCTAAGATGGCACTGCTAATACCTCACAGAGTATAAGACTTGAACCCAAGCCTGCCTCTTAATCACAAAAGTCTCGTATTAAGTCAACAAAAGCTGGTCAGCCACTATCCTTCAACGTGCAGTTTCCACCCTGAATTAACCAAGATAAGCCAGTGTGCACCCACCCCACCTCAAACAGGAACTGGGATGTTAAAGGCAAAACGTGGCCATTGCGCAAGCTCACACCGCCCTTTCTCACTCTCTCTTTCCTGACCCAGGACGTCACCACCGCAACTTTCCCGGACAACTTTAGAACGGCTCCCGCCCCCTATTTAGTCAAACGGGCGGAAGTTGTTGCTCACTGCAACGTGGACACCTTTCTTTTCTTTGGGCCATTCCAACTTGGAAGCGACACCATGAGCCTCTGTTTCTCAGCCGTCCAAGTTGGAGTTTGCCAGTTGTCAATATGGCCGCTGACGGACCGGTCCCTGTAGAGGCTTTTCATAGGCCAAGGTCGCATCCTAGCCCCGCCCATTTCGTCCCGCCCGGCTGCGTCCGCCCAGGTTTTCGCTACGCATGCGCAGCCTGGGCTGGCCGCGAGGTGGGACGGCCCGATTTTTCCGTGTACTACGGTCGCTGCCTCGGGCTCGCTGCCCCTGCTCCCGCCACTCCGAGACTGCTCTGCCGGCGTTAGCGGCGCGAGGGGACGGCACGCGGAGGACGTAGTGTGCGTGCGCGGGTCTTCCCGCAGTCCCAGCAGTTCCCCTCGCGCGGAGTGGGCGGCGGGGGTCAGCAGCAGTCCGGGGAGGCCGTAGACGGCGCCATGTCGGCGGGCGGCCCATGCCCAGCAGGAGCAGGAGGGGGCCCAGGGGGCGCCTCTTGCGCCGTGGGGGTCTCCCCCGGTGGAGTATCCATGTTCCGGTGGCTGGAGGTGCTGGAGAAGGAGTTCGACAAGGCCTTCGTGGATGTGGATCTGCTTCTAGGTGAGATCGACCCGGACCAGGCGGACATCACTTATGAGGGGAGACAGAAGATGACCAGCCTGAGCTCCTGCTTTGCGCAGCTTTGCCACAAAGCCCAGACTGTGTCCCAAATCAACCACAAGCTAGAGGTGAGCTTTGGGCACTGGTGGGGGTGGCATTCAACCCCAGTCATCAGATCACATTTAACAACGCCAGTGAAACGACCCTAGAAAACCGCCCACTGGGGCACCTGGGCATCAAGTGTGACAGGGATTGCGTGTGTATATGTGTGAAGGAAAGGAGTGGGGTGAGGTTGGAGTAGAAAAAGGGGTGTAGATCTACGTGTGAGTCTTCCTGGGTCCTGTCATCCACCTTCTTAGGGTCTTTCAGGAGGAAAACAGGAACTAAAGACACCAGCTTGTTTGTACATATTACATTAATCTAAGACTTAAGCTCAAAGATTCTCTGTCATAAGAATACCTAGCCTACCGTTTAACATTTGAGTTTTTAGGTCTACTTTCCCATTGATCAACCAGGTTTGTATATCCAGACAGATACAGACCTGATTATTTTTAACAATTTCAGGACAGCATCTAATGTTGCACACAGACATACTATTCCCTGTTGAACTATTTAGGGGAATTTGATCAAAACTCTTAGGAAAATTTAGTGGGATAAACTCAACAGTATCAATGTCCTTCTCGGTTTACAGTCCTTAAATTACAGGCAGATACCACGAGAGCTCCCTACAATTATATATATTCCAATGACTTCTAACATTGAGGTTTTGTTTGTACTTTACCAAATTTCCCAAAGTCTGGAATTATTTTTGAATGTATGAACAATGATCATTTGCTTTAGTCTCTAATCTTGGTTGTGGGTGTGGGTGGAGTGGTGGTTACAAAAAAACAAAAAACTTACCCCTTTGTACAGAAAATTAAATTAGCACATTATTACAGTATTTAGAAATCATGATAGATTTAACATTACATAAAGAACATTTTCTAACTAGGTAATTTAAGTGTGAGAATGGATATTTCATTTTAAAGTAGCTAAAAATAGGATAATCAGTGATGTGTAAAAGCTCTTTGAACGTTAAGTTTCTTAAATCATTGCTATCAGTTTTAATGAGAAAACAGTGCCCATTGGATCCATATTGCTATATCAGATAAGCATCCTCTCTTTTCCTAGCCATTAGCATTCTTCCTCTTTCTTGTTAGCCATGAAAAAGGTGGTATAATTCATCTTTAATTATATTAGAACTGCATATCAGTCTCTTTTTTACTGAAAAGTGTGTTAATTTCTTCCATCCTTTTTGAAAAGGTTGAAATGGAAATGCTAATATGAAGCTAATCACTTTTTCTTCTAGGTATATGAAAATGTCTTTTGATTTCTTGATAAGTGGTTATTTCTAGAAGATAGTTATTTTTTCAGGTAATGAAATTGCATTTGATGGTTTTTAGAAATAGTACTTTATTTAGCTTTACATAACAGCAAAAGTAACTTTGCCACTTGAGAACTTTAATATCATTTAAAACTGAAAGTATATACCGAAGATAACAGCTTTTAAAAAATGAAACAACATCTAAATCATTTTTTAAAAGACTTAAGGAAACTTTAAACAGTGATATTTTGATGTAATATATAAAATCTAATTTGGGAGGAAGGATCGTTCCATGAGTAGGAGGTGGTGCTCAATTTTTTCATCTTTAGTACTTTAGATGAGTATTCAGAGCTATAATAAATTATGCATGTTCTTTTTCCCAGAAATTATAATTACATATTCGGACTCCATGTACTGACTTAGGAGATGGCATTATTCCTCAAAATAAGAAATGCTAGCCTATCACGATGTGAATGCATGTTTGTTTGTTTGTTTGTTTGTTTTTAATGTGCTTGAAACCATAGATTTAAAGATGTTAGAAAATGGGGAAGAGAGACTAAACATTATTTTTGTTTGTGTGGTTTTTCAGGTACATTTGACTTATCTGTCTGTGGAGTTCACTTTTGTACAGTTAGCAGTTTCTACAGTTTTCATGGTGTCAGTTGTTTATTGCTGAGAGGTTCTTTGTCAGTACTGCCTTTCCAAGTAGATCTGTTTATATCATCTGCAGAATTTCAGAGTTTGCTCCTTATACTGTTATCAGCCTTCTAAGATCTTGAAATCTTAGAAAAAATGTTCATACTTTTTTGTCCTATTATATTTCGTAGTAAGTGGATTAAATTAGTTCAATTGTTTTAAAGATTTGGACATTAAAGCATAACATTTGAGGCCACTTATGGTTTAATATAACAAGTGTATGTCAAAGTTCAGTGGTTTTAGTGATGAACACCTCAAGCCACATTACTATAATAAAATATTTTTGTAATCAATACTCAAATATCTCCAGGATGGATAACTTATATTTAACTTGGTCTTGAGTATTCTTCCAGAGTGCCTCCTCTTCTACCCAGTTTTTGTAGCTTTAGGTGAAACCATGTTTAATATCAATGTAGTAGTTAAGAAAACAATTTTGCTGCAAAAATAAAATTTTACAGGTTACATTTTAAAATTAAATATAAATGATACCTGTGTAACTGTTTCTTGCCATAAGTTATATTTGGGGAGAGGGATATCTAGTAGGGGATGAGGAGACAGAAAATATCAAAATATTTTGAGGTAGTGCCATTTCAAATTACATCTCTCTTATACTTCTCACCTGTTTGTGAATTCCTGCTATGGAGAGCCACTTGATGACAGTTCTATTGGAGTTACAGGTACTGATTGGGATAGTAGTAATAGTAATAGTAGCAGTGGTAGGTATGTTGGAGTAAAACAAAGGTTGAGAACCAGTACTTTAGAAAAACTCATTTCTCTGCCTTGAAATATAATTTTCTGCCTGTCTGCCCCTACTTTAAAATAAACAATGTATCTTTTATCCATCCTCTTTTTTCTCAGCACTTGATGAATCAGTGTCTTCTTTTTCAGTAATTTACTGTTCACAGCCATTAGTGGGGAAACTTTTAACTTTGGCCTAGAGCCATGTTGATAATGAACTAATGATGTACTGCTATCCCTTTACCACTTAAAAGCTCTACAAGCAGTAAGGCTGTTTTGCAGCATTGAACTTGAAGTTTAATATTGATCTAATATATATTTATTGAGCACTAATTATGTGCCAGATGCTGTATTGAGCACTAGGGAGACAATAGAGAGCAAAGATGGGCATAGTCATTGCTGTTATGGATATTGGATACTCTTGGGGGGATATATTGGAATAATTTTCACATATGTGTGAAATTCCAACTTTGATGAGTGCTATGAAAGGTACATAGAGTAATGAGCCTATTCTGGGGGGATCAAGGAAGGCTTTGTTGAGGAACTGGCCATTGAGTTAAGTCATAAAGGATGGGTAGGAATTAATTAGGCCAAGAGAAATAAGAATATTATTCAGTTTTCTAGTAGAGAGAACAGGAAGTGGAAAGCGCCTGTGATGGGAAAGAGCATAATGCATTTGAAAAACTCAAAGAGAGATGCTATGTATTTAAAAAAAAAAGGCAAAAGAAGTGAGATGCAAGATAAGTTTGAACAGGTAGATTGGGACCTTGTCTTCATGGTTTTACATGATTTTATAGGCCACCAAGTAGATTTGGGGGCTTTATCATAACTAGATTCAAATACCTCACTATGTCTATGGTAAGGAGAGTTTGGAGGAATGACAAGAATGAAAGCAAGAAATCATTTAGGAGATTCTTATTTTGATCCATGTGAGATGATGATAGTGCATAGTAGGATAGTGGAGATAGTGCTCAGAACCTGAGAGACTTGAGAGGTAACAATAAACAAATTAAGGGATGAATTGGCATGGAAGGATGAGGGACTTTAGGATGACTCCAAGATAAGTCATCGACTAGTTGGCTGGGTAGATAGATGCAGATGAGTTATATGAGTTTTTATTGGCAATAATAATATATTGCTGACCTTATTGCTAACCTTATTGAGTAATTGCTATGGGCCAGGCTCTGTCAGAATTCTTTTATATATATTGATTCATCTAATTCTCACAACAATGGGGTAGGTTTAGTATTGTTATTCTTATTTTACAGGTATTAAGTAAGGGTCCTGACTCTACAGAACTAAAGAAAGCAGCCTCTCCAAAGACACATTTATGTTTGGTGGGAGAAGGAGGAGATAGAGAATAAAGCAGGGAGAAAGAGTAAGTGTGGCTGGACCAGTAGCTGGAAGGGGGAGGGTGGCATTCAAGGAGGGTATTTTCATTTTCTTTTTAAATGAAAAAGTAAACCTGAACACGTTTTAAGCAAATGAGAAGCATCTAGTTCAGGAGAAAGCTGAATATTCTAGAGAAAGAGAGGGACAATTGGTATTAGTAAGGTTTCTGATTGAAGATGAGATCTAAAATGTAGAGGAAGACTTTATATTGAAAGGACAGCTATTATACTTAGAAGGAAAGGAAAGATGATAACAGAAGGCAAGAAGTTGAGGAAGTTTTTGTGTGATGCCTTCTTTATTCTCTCTAAAATAGCCCAGGACAACTGCTAAAGGTAGATGAAAGTAAGAGCTTAAGGAGAATGAAAAATATTTGAAATAGTTATGGAAGAGTGGGAGAGCCATTTGTCTAGAGAAATAGGACTGCCAGGCAATGTCGAAGACTTACTTAGAGTTAATTATCATAAATTCATGGTACAACCAGTCTGCCTTGTTGTGTGACTTTCTCCAGCAATACTTACTTTTTTAGTAACAAGGCATAGTAATGAGAGTAATAATTGAGTTCGTCTAGTGCTTTAGCAAGAAGTTTGCTATATAGATAAGAGTGTTATTGAAATAAAAATGGCAATGGGAAATTAAGAAAATGATAATTTTCTTAAAGAAAATTAAAGAAGTAGAAACTGGATTTGATAATTATGTAGATGCAGAGGATGAAGAAGAGAAAAAGTTAAGGATGACACCACATTTCTTTTGCGGGAGTGTATTGATTGATGCCTGTATTAGGTTGAATAGTTCCCCCCAAATTTATGTCTACCCAGAACCTCAGAATGTGCCCTCACTTGGAAATAGGGTCTAATGTAAGATAGAGATAAGATCATAGCAGGTTAGAGTGAGCCCTAACTCTAATGAAAGTGTCCTGATAAGGGATACTCAGAAGACACA